TCTCAGGACAGGATGTTTCCAAACTCGGAGCAAACAGTCAAATCCCTTGAGATATTCGGAGAAAGCATAACCTATCCTTTATTAGACTTTTCTATTGGAGATGCAGTTCCATAGGCAGATTTAATTTTCACAAGTTTCCAAAAGGTTCCAAATCCTAACATGAGAATATAAGACAAAGTAAGTCAAGAGCATGAACTCAATTACTAAAAGTGAAATGTGGTAACTCAGGGGCAAACTTTTTCTTGACTTAAATAGGGACCAACTGCAACTCATTATTTTTTCTGAAATGGTACATGAAATCTGATAACTGGAAGCTATCATAAAACTCATTGCATATAATATTTAAAACAAAGCAGTTGAAAGTAAACTTAATTACCTCTTAAATTAACTAAATTACAAGATAACCTCAATTTTATTTTGTGCATTCTATTGTATCTGGAACATTTGGTTCTTGTATTTTATATACATCATGATATTAGTAATTTTAAGAAAAAGATGCATAGACAAAGAAACCCCTTAAGTCAATTCAATCTGTAAATACTCTATAGGATTTATTTCTTTCTTCAATCTTAGAATGTTGATCTTTTTTCTATAGGAGAAATGTTATGCCAGCTGACATACCTCAGCTTTCTTGGAGATTTCAGTTGAGCGCTGTTGACCTAGCTAAATGCTCATCTTAAGACTCATAAATCAGCTGCCAAAACCCCCTTTTCCAAATTATTTATGATGCCAAACTCACCTGCTGTGGATTATGAAGTACTAGCAATGAATGCATCTGATGGAAATCAGTTGTAAAATTGGTATGATGAGAAATATTATTTTCTTTCCCTAGATATACACTTGTTTTCTATCATTATAATTCCACTAACTAAAAGGGAATGGTGACAGGCTGAGTTTTGTCTTTTGTAACAGACTGTGGTCCAGCTGCAGTAGTTACAAATGAATAGACAAGTGAATATTTTCAAGGGGCAAAAAAATTCCCTTAATTTATCTGGGGAGAACCAGACCCATTTCTTCCACCTCTTTTACCACTAACTTGTTTTGGTCTAAGAGCAAATTTAGAAATAGAAGCAGAAAGAGGTACTCTTCTCCATAGCAATTTAACCCATTTAAAAGGAACTCGAGAAGCAGCTTGGACTTTTTACAATAGGTATCACCCTGGAATGAAGAAAAAAAAGAAACAGAGCATCAAAAGATTAAAAAGAGTGCTTGGCAGTCAGTTTTTGAGAAGCAGCTTGGACTTCTTACAATAGGTATCACCCTGGAAGATTAAAAAGAGTGCTTGGCAGTCAGTTTTATAAGCTAATCCTACCTGCATCTCTTTTAATAATACCATCAATAGATTCTTTAAGTAGACATTGTCCTGTTCTGTTACTGTCCTACAAAACTGCAATGTCAGTAAGAGGCAGACCCTCTCTGTAACTTGTCTCAGATTAATGAAAGGTGGGAAGTTGCTTTTCTTTCATGATGTTACATTTAAGTCCCAGGAGATTTTGAGTTAAAAATATGCATGTAATTTATGGGTTTACATCAACAGGAGACAAACAAGGCCAAGAGTCTGTATTCCCAAGGCCATTATTTTTGTTTGCTCTGTTATTTGTTTACCCTCATGTACAGGGGAGCTATTTTGGTGACTTAAGGTAGGTACAAGTCATATCAAAATGAGCCTTTGAAAGGAAAGGCTAAAGGTAAAGGTGGGAAAAAGTTGTTCAGGTTTTTGTCTACTTTAGTGGCTGATACATTCTTTCACATTTTTTAATAATTACCATTTCTAATGAAACTTAGAAATGAAGTGTTTAATAACCTTGAAGAGGATCACCCTCTTTTAATTTGATGGGCTGGAACAGCACTTTCTTTCATGCTGGCTGTATCTGCAGGTTTGCATAACGTACAGAAAGTCTTCCCCAGGCATTACAGAAACAGATAAAAGAAGTGTTAATTTTGGGTCAATCTGTTATTGGACAATCTATTATTTATAAAGAAATAAAAAGCAGGAAAGGTAGTATTTATTTTGTTACAAGAAAAGACAAAATTAATTCACAATTAATGTGAATAAGTGGAGTCCGCTCAGGCCAGAGTTGGATGTTCAGATAATGCTGGCCCTTTTGCAGGTGTATTGAAGACGCATTACAAGTCTAAGGGTAAAAGACTGCTATTCAGCAGAGACTGGATTTTTTATTGAATGAGATATACAGTATGTCGTAAGAACAAGGCAGAAAATAAACATGGTTTTTAAAATTAATTAAGGGAAAAGTAAGAACATTTAGAGGCATCTACCTTTATGGCAGCTGCTTTAAAGACAAATAAGAAAACTTTCTATTGGAAATGAAATGCAAATCTTTGGGATTATCTACAACAGAATCATTTACAGACTCCAAAAAGAGTAAAATTTTGTCAGTGTGTACAGGAGAAATATTTGATCTTTGAGATCTGTCAGTATTTTTGGAACAGGCACGTCTATTAACTTTATTTTTAAGTAATCAAGTGAGACCTTCACACAGATGATACTTTATTAAAAGAAGTTACTAAAACATAAATCTGTGCAGAAATCTATGCAGACACAATTATAATAGATGAAAAAAAAACCAACCTGTGGAAAGAGTCTATGCTTGAAAAAGCATTACCTTCAGAAAGCTGTGTTCCATGTGCCTCACCATTGGTCCTCCTTTCAGCATGGGACAGAAGACAGTGATGAAGGAACAATTTGACACCTCACCTTTCAGAAATGAAATGTCTAAAACCTGCTAACAAATGCATAGGAACTGAAACCTTTGTAAAAGAAACTGTTCAATTGGGTTAAAGCAAGACTACAGAAAAGACCTTAGATATTGTCTTTGAACGTTAGTCATATGAGGCACTGCTGTACTGCAAAGGCAGTGTGGAGAGAAAATTGTTGTAGTCATTATTCTCACTGATAAAACAGTTTAGTTTTATTACAGCCTATGAGTTTCCTTCATGTTGTATCTCATCGTTTCCGTGTTGTTCTTAATTATTGATTTGAGACAGCCATTTGGTTGCTTACTACTAACTGCTCTTATTCCTCTGGGCTGGCTTCAGTAAAGCAGAAATCACAGCAATAGAGAGCAAAAGACAAGCTCAAATTTTCTCAAATAATTTTTTTCTCCTGTTGGTAACTGAGAAAATCCAAAGGGTATAGGATGCATCCTGTTTTCAGTGACCTCTCTTTAACTGACAGATATCTTTTAGTCAATAGCTGTGAATAATCAGTGTTTAAGGAGATTGACTTTTCCTATACCTATGGAAAATCAGAAGTTGGGACATCTAGAAGTGGGCAGTAGAACTTACCTGTGGATCCAGTCTCTTAGGAAATGAATTTTATAAAGGCTATTGCATAGTTATCACACAGAAACATTTTCAATTACCTATGCAGTTGGTTGGATTTAAAGTGGCAGCATGAAGGTGGAAAGTTCTTATTAGAGAACGTACAAAGTAGGAAACTAAATTTAGTTGGAAAAATCTGGTTGTGCAAGACTATGTAATATTATGCAAGGCTGAATAAATATGGGAATTAAACTTCATGGAATCACAGAATGGTTGAGGTTGGAAGGGTACACTCTGCCTGTTATCCAGATCATTAATGAAGATGTTGAACAGGATTGGACCCAGTGTTCACCCCTGGGGTATAGTTGCTGGCTGTAAGAGTTGGTCTGAAGAACAACATTGTCTTAACCTTGTCATCAGGGATATGGACAATAAGGTACCCCAAAAGTTAGGCTAACATCTTGACATGAGTCTGCAGCAGCCTGCCTGAGATGCAGTTGCTGATCCCAAGAATGGAATGTGGTATGAACACTCCGGGAGGGAGAGATGCATGGCATGAAGAGTGCCATGTATGAACACTCTGGGAGGGAGAGCTGCATGGTACAAAGAGTGCTGTGCAGTTCTCTGGTACCAGGGACGAGCCTGAGCTGATAAGGTGGACTGCATAACTGCTGTCAAGAAAGGCTGATCAGCATCGATGGAGCCAAGAAGAGGCAGAGATACAGAGGAGGAGCAAGGTGTGTTACTTGGTATAAAAGATGGCTCCTCAGCACCCAAATTTTGGAAGCTTTCCCCACCAAGGATCATGATGATCGTTAGGACTGGCAGGACGCTGCCTGGACCTGGGACCATAGGGACACTTTGGACCCATGGTGGTAGCTGTCAATCTCTTTCCTCTTTTCACTCTACTTTTCCCTTTTCTTTCACCCTCTATCTATCACGCGCCGCTTTACAGGCGAACAATAAAGTTTCACCGCTTGATTGAAGCAAATCCCTTTGGCGTGGTCACCTTAATTTTGCGCTTTGAGATCACAGCAAACGAACCATCATGAGTCCCCTGAGTGGACCGTGACACTGGCCTCCAACTAGACTTTGTGCCAATGATCACCACCCTTGGGCCTGGCCGTTCAGCCAGTTTTCAATCCACTTCACTGTCTCCTCATCCAGCCCATACTCCATTACCTTCTCTATGAAGATCTCACAGGAGACAGTGTTGAAAGCCCTACTGAAGTCTAGGTAGACAATAACCACTGCTCTCCCCTTGTCTACCAGTCATTTAATCATAGAGGTTTATAAAATTTAGGCTATGCCTAATGGAAACAGCCTAGTCAAAAAGTGCTTACAGATAGGCATAGACTTCTTCTGAATTATGTCTTTAGATGCAGTAGTGTAGAAGTAAAGTTGCAGATAACCAAGACGGTCAGAAAAACTACAGATATTAAAGACTTTGGTAGAACACTAAGTATCTTATGTTTGACTGTATCTAGTATTTTCTTCCTTGTTGGATGGGTATTAATGCATTGTAGAGGACAGAGAGTGCACAATGTGCACAACCTTGATGGGTTAATGATATAAGGAAAGCCATACACTTTGCAGTATTTACACAGTTGGAGAGCTCAATTTTTCCGTTTGAATGCTGCACTAATGTTGTTGTTGGTTTTTTTTTTTTTTATCTAGCAGTTTAAAATACTCCATTTTGGAGTGGGACTTTCCTGTGAAGCTCCCAGAAGCGTCCTGCTTGGACAGTTGGTGTTCTTCCCTTTCCCCCATCCTGCTGCATCTGGTGTCTGAGGGGCAAACCACAGGTGGGACCACCGTGCATGAGGCCATAGTAGGTGGTAACCCTCAGGCTACAGCACCGCGTTACAACCACCAAAATACAAGCTATAGGCACTAAGGCAGAGGGGACAGGCGGCAGTCTCTGACTCTGAAATTTGCTGTCAGTTTTGTACAAAGCATGAGAGGAAGGCAACATTGCAAATTGTGCTCACTGGTGGCGAAGTGAACAGACATAGGTTTACTGGTGAAACAAAGCCTTTCATCATGCTGGAGTAACGACTGCACAAGTTTTCAGAGAAGTTAAAACATATGAAATCACCCACTGGAGATTCATTTGTTTTGAAAAACGTAGCCATCTGGGAAGTGTTTAATAAGGTCACTAATTAAATGTGTTGGTAAAGAATTTAACAACACTCTTTGCACTTCATTTGCATGATGGCGCTTTGAGATTGCAGTAAGTTGCATTCTGCTTCATCAGACCTAACTCATAATCTGATCAGACAACAGCATGAGGCGTTTTTCTTGTGCTCTCCTAATTTATGATAGTTTTGTGTTCAAATAGAGTCCCTGTGGCCTCATTAACACATCTCATTTGTACGTCCCCTTCACAGTGAGAAATAGCTTTGTGCTGCCTGTAATTAGAACTAATGGGAGTTAAATAACCTGAGACTTCATTAAAGTTGCTCTGCTAGAGAAGGTAGTCTGTAAACAGAAGGCAAGGAGGCTCTTCGGGAAAGTGCCACCTTTAGGTAACAGGACACCAGAGGAAAAAGTTATTTCTGAAACTTTCTGAGCTGGGCTGTGCACAAAGCTGACTTACATTGTAAGTTATTATTAAGAACAAGGAGAACAAGAACTGCCTCCTAGGTGATGAAGGTCACCAGCAGTCTGTGTGTGAAAGCCCATTGTTACGTCTGCAGACAATAAATATTGGTGATGTGTTGGCTAGACTAGCTTGCAGGAGAGTTGTTGGTCTATACACTGAAAATGTCATCTTCTACTGTTTCCATTTATACTAAATAGATTGTGGTGATCTTGTGCAGCCACCATGTTGAGATGCCCTCTTTACTGGTTTTGGTTGGGATAGGGTTAATTTTCTTCATATTAGCTTGTATGGTGCTACATTTTGGGTTTGTGATGAAACTAGTGTTGATAACCTCCCCCTGATTTAGCTATTGCTGAGCAGTGCTTACACAGCCTCAAGGCCTTCTCTGCAAGTAGGCTGGGGGTGCACAAGAGGTTGGGAGGGGGCACAGCTGGGACAGCCCTCCCCAACTGACCCAAGGGACGCCCCGCACCGTATGATGCCATGCTCAGCCATAAAATCTTTGGGGGAAGAAGGAGGAAGGGGAACATTCGGAGTTAAGCTGTTCATCTTCCCGAGTAACCCTTACACATGGTGGAGCTCTGCTTTCCTGGAAATGGCTGAAGATTTGCTTGCAGATGGGAAGTAGTGAGGAATTTCTTAATTTACTTTGCTTGTGCATGCAGCTTTGCTTTACTTATTAAACTGTCTTTATCTCAACCCACAAATTTTCTCACTTTTACCCTTCTGATTGTTACCCCCATCCCACCAGGGAAGTGAGTGAGCAGCTGAGTGGGGCTGAGCTGCCTACTGAGATTAAGCCATGACACCTTCCAAACTTCTGCACAGCATGCATGGGATGGCTGAGACTCCCTTAACCCAAGGTCTCCCCTGTCTTCACTCCTTGGCAGGTCATCTCCTCAGGATAACGTACTGGCTGCTTACAATTTTTCATGTGCTTCCCTCCTGATATGCTCCAGGGCAGGACATAGGCAACTATGTGTGTGCCTCTGGAGCTTCACAATCCACTGTCCCACCACCATCTCTGAGCTGCAGCTATTCAGGCAAATCTTTAGTAGAAGCTCCATGGATCGCTGCCTAGATCCAAAGTCTCATTTCAGGGCTCTTGCTAGTCAGGAGTTGGCCTGAGAAGACATCCAACTTCTAGTTCCAGAAAACTGGCCTTTGATACAAGCATTTTTGGAATCCCAGGATCAACTCAACTTTTCCATAGCATGGGATTCATCTATGCTGAGTGATCATCATCTCGGCTACTTAAAAATTATGTCTAAAACCATCAAAATATCTGTTCTGGTGACTGGAAGATCCCTCTTGGTAGTAAGAGAAAGACTACCCGCAGGAACAATTCATCCTACCTAAAAATATATAAGCTGGTGAGATAAAATAACCTGTGAAGGTGACTATTTTTCTACAGTAAGTATTAAGAGAGCTACTAATGACCAGAGCAGAAGTAGTGCCTAACTTTTAGATGTCTAAATTTACATTAGATGGCTATCAGCCTTGAGGAGTGTGGGTCTGCTTTTTATGGTTTAAGTGGCTTAGCTTTGCACTAGTGTCTAGGCACAGACTGCAGTCGTGCTGTATTTGAACTAGAGGTTATCCTGCAAGTAAGCTGGGATCATATTCATTCACAAACTCCTCCTGCAACCAGAAAGTAATGTCAGAAAGATGCCGGAATGAGGTATGAAGAGAGACTGACTGGTTGTGAACTCTGGTAGAGCTGAAATTCTCTGGAAACACAGTAATGTTTCCAGATTTTCAAGGAGATAGGCAGTGCATGAGGGGAAAGAAATAGTATATCCATTGACTTCCTGAAGCGACTATGTTAATATGTGCTGAACTTACTAAATATACTTAAAAAGCCTCAGATGGGAAACATTCCTCATGGGAGAAGATCACTTTCCTTCAATCTATACCACCACCAGGAGAAAGGAGATATCACCTGGCAGCACTTCTGAAATTGCAATTTCAAGACAGATCAAGATGTCCAAGCAATCATGCAGTTCATTTCAGAAGGTAACACTGAGCACGAGAAAATTAACTGCATCAGGCCAGCCTTGCTGGGGATTAAGGAGGAAGAGAATCACCCATTAATTTATCAGAAAGATAGATTTTTTTTTTATCTTAACTTGCTTTATTTATGTGAGATAAATTATTAGAGTAGTCATATTGTCACTAACAAGGATTATCTTCCACAGCACAAGCGCTGATATATGTATTTCATTGCTTCTTTTTATGTCATTTTGGAGAGTGGACACTTAAAAAGGTGGCAACAAAACAGTAAAAGAGATAATCTCAGATCCTGATATTTTGCTCTGCTGAAACGTAGTGTCATTCAACTTTTATGCTCTGCAGCATAGAGTGCTTCAGTGCTCTACAAAGCACAGAAAAGAAAGACAAGATACACATACAATGTGCACTTATACAAGCAATGTGAACAGAGGACATAATTTACTGCTGAGCATAGCTCTTACTTTAGTATAGAGTCATCGATTACTCTCCATAGTCTCTTGTCAGGTACTAATCCTTTCCTTTCCATTCCCAGGACTGGTCCTTCATAGTCCAACTAGATGTCACAGGACCAGGCCAGAGGTATTACTTCCTTCTGTTTATGGTATGTTAACTCTAGAAAAGCTAGGTCATAGATTTAAAAAAATGGCAGTCTGTGGATTTTCTTCAGCTGGTGACCATGTGCTAGTTTTTTACTTACTCGCCTGTCCTTCATGCCCCAATCTGGGTGTCCTGAGAAGCTGCCCACAGGTGTAACCTTGGCAGCCTGCTCACCCAGGTGCCATCACCCCTAGCCATTCCTATAGCCCTTCTTCTGCTACTCCTTCTGGTTCTTCCACAGCCACCCTGCCCCATTCACCCTCCATTCAGGCCGACCATCGCATTTCTTCACAATTCTCTATATACTTTCCTCACCAGCTGTCACAGCATTGCCATCAGACAAAATAACAATATATCCAAGCTAAAAAAAGTTCTGTAAGATGCAAATTGGCAAATATTTTACATTGAAATATTCATTAGAAAAGCGTAATTTTCTGGCATTGTCAGGTTCAGTGTTGCTTTTTGCTATTGCTTTTCATTCTGTACGTCATATTTTTCACTCTTTGATCTCATTAAACATACTTTTGATTTCACTGAGCAGAAAAGCCTGTAAGTGACAAACTTATAAGTGACAAGCACTAGTTGAAATGGAAATGGAAGGAGCAGCATGACTTTTCTCTGTCCCAGCTTACCTCCATAGAGTGTGCTGGCATGGCTGGTCATGGGCCTATTTTGACCTCTGCACATACTGAAGGGGAGGGACAAAACTTAAGAGCTTTGGGTTATTATACAAAGGTGTCTAGAAGTTCAAAAGGAAAGTCTTTTCTGCTCTTTCTAGAGGACAATAAATAAACATGAATATTGTAATATAAACACACCTTGTTCAAGAAATTAATCTGTTGTATCAGAATAATTTCTTAATGATTAAGAGCAGGTATATAAACTGCTGTAAGTTTATATTAACTTAAGTCTTGCTCTTCTGTGCATTGCATACAAATAGCTATAACCAAAACACATACAAATCCCAATTTGGAATGAAAGAAGACTTAAAGCACAGTAGTTGCTTATCTGCTTGAACCACATTTGGTAAATGAGTAAACAAATAGGTGTTTCCTTCATTTTCAGCTCTTACATCCGGCAGTTCAGCCTCCAGGCAAAAATTCAAAGCCATGAATCCAACCATTTAAAGCATGTTACTCTAAAAACAAATGAGTCCTGGAAGAGTCCTGTTGAAAAACTTTTCCGAACAGAATCATCTTTAATGCCCTGCGAAACCACATGTAAAAAAATGCATAAACTATTGGGTTAAATGTGGAATTTAAATAACCAAACCAAACCAACGCATCAATGAGAATAGGAGGTATCACGTAATTCATAAATGGATTGGTTGCTGTAAAGAAGAAGAATGGGCTCCAGCAGATGAGAAACACCCCCATTATTATGCCTAATGTCTTGGCAGCTTTCCTTTCTCTGCAGAATGAAATGTGGTGCTTCATTTCAAATCGCACCTTTTTTTGGCTAATTGCATCAATGGATCTTGCCTGCCTCTTGGCTATAGAGTATATTTTCCTATAGATGTACAGCATAACAAATCCAGGGATATAAAAAGACACAATGGAGGCCACAACACCTGAAGTTTCACTAAAAATGACAAAACATCCTCCTGCACAATGATTATAAATCTTTTTTGCCCCTCGCAAATTTAGGTCTAGAAAGATCATCCCAAAAGCAAAAGCAGCAGGGACCATCCAACTTACAAATATCATGACCAAGATAACAAAAGTATTTATCTTTGATTTGTATCTTAGAGGGTCACACACAGCATAGTAACGGTCGATAGATATGAAGGAAAGATGGAAGATGGAAGCTGTGCTCAGCATGATGTCCGTGCTCGTGTGGATCTTGCAGAAGAGGTCACCAAAATACCAGCAGTGCTCAATGGAGCGGACCATGCTGCAAGGCATGATGAGGAATCCCAGCAGAAAGTCTACTGTAGCCATAGAAAGTATCAGGAAATTGGTAGGTGTATGCAGCTGCTTGAAATGTGATACTGAGATGATAACTGTCAAATTTCCAACCACTGTGGCCAGAATAATGCAAACCATGAAGATATACATGGAAACTCGGATACTGTTTGACCAGTTGCTCCTTATGCAAGAGCCATTTACGGATTCACAGCACAGTTGCATCCTTACTGAGATCTCAAATCCATGTAGGTGTGCAGCACAGGTACTGTTTTTCCTAATGCTGAGATACATTTACAGCTGTTTTTTCCTTTTCTATACAAGGAGAGCTGCAGGGAGGAAAAAAAGGGCAACTGTAAACAACTTCATTTATTTGAATTTGTAAGAAATTAACATTTCTTCGTTTATGAAGGATTAAAATATTTTGTTATTACACTTTTAACAGAATGACACTTTCATTATTAGATTTCCCTTGAAACTGGAATCTCGTTTGATGAAATAAACTATGTAATGGGGTGTCCCCACACTAGAACAGCAGTGGCTCCCAGAGGCCTGCACTGAGAAATGTCTTATCTAGTGGACAGATGCGAAGTCTTTTTCATTATTTTCTGTTTAAACAGTCCTAGTCTTCTCCATCAAAATTGGTTGGAGTCCTGTAGCCTCACTTTGCTCTTGAAAAGCAGTAAGTTTAGATTCTGAAGCTCCCTGAACTTTTTTTTTGATACGTAAGTCCAAGATCTACTAGCCTAAAACACAAGGCTAAAGCCGAGGAGTCCATGCTCAGCCTCTCCTCCAGCCCTGTCCTGACAGCGGTACTGAGCCCACCGTGCATTCTGGAGAAAGCAAAAGTTTCCACAAGCCCTTGATTTTTAGGCAGACAGCACTGCCTCACCAGATCAAGTCTCACTGCAAAATTCTTGTAGGCTCGTAAGAAAAAGATACTAGAGGAGAAAAAAAAAAATTCTGCCCTTTTGCTGCCAAAATATAATAGAAGAGCCTGATTAATCTGAAGCATTAGCTGCTGTATAAGCAAATACGCTTGCTGTTGTGTTCTAGTTTATTTCAGAGCTAGTAGTTTAGCAGTTATGTGTATTTATGATGTTAATACTGTTTTTAGCCAAGGCACAAACATGGAGAGAAACATTTTCTGAACATTGGTTTAGTCTGCATCTGAGGACACAAATTTTGCTGTCCTCTTCTGTATGCAGTAGCACGTCCCTTTTTCAATTCTCTTTTTATGAAAGTACTTAAGCGCTTGGCAAGCAATATTCATTGTTGAAAAATCTGGTTTTCCCTTAATTAACAGAAAAATAGTATTATTGTGAAAAATAAAGAACATTAGCATATGCTATTCACTAGCACTATCGTTATGGTATAACATGGTTGTTTATGTCAGAAAAATACTGACATGGCAATTCAGTACTAATTTAAACCATTTGCTTCAGGAATTTGCTGCCTCTGGTTGTTTTTGATGGAACACACAGAACAATTAATGTTTTCCCATATCAAAACAAATGTTATTACAAGCACACCATGCCATTAGAAGCCCAATGGAAGCTGAATGGAAGCCGATGTGGAAGTATAGCTTGCAAAACCCTGGCAGCTACCACTAGCAGCCTGTGTTATACAGAGGGATTTTCAAGTAGTGTCATGCAGTGGCACCCAAGTGCCAGGGACAAAGTGCAGCCAGAGGCACTCTCAGGAAAACAGGACACATGGAATCTGAGTATATTTATTTACTGGTTGGGGTATCCCTTGCTTCCCCTTTTTTCTGCCTACTAATGTTTAACGCCATCTCTGCTCTTTTCCAGCTCACTTTAACTATCGCTTCATATATTTTTTCCTTCACTTTTGGTCTGTCTCTTCATGTTTCTTTTCCTTCCTATCATTCATTCTTTCGGCGCCTTCACACCCAAGATACAGGCAGCTGGATCTTTATTAACCCAAATTTTCAATTTTCACAGGAGAAAGAATTAAACACCAATTTAACTGTTTATACTGGACTTAATTATAAAAATTTCAAGCACATTCAGGTTACGAATGTGTCACATATAGATTTTGATCTTCATTTGTTTTATGTGTAAATAAATGCTATAAAGACAACAAAAAGAATTAAGGTGCTATTTCTAGTTTTCTGTTTAAAAGGTTAATAACTTCCCTATTGTTCTCTGACAGAGAAACTCTTTAGCCTAAAGAAATATGATCTCCCATGGAAACTGTTTTTCTTTTTTTTTTGAAAAAATCGTATTTTCAGGGGATTTTGTTTTTTCATTAAACAGAAAGAAGAAACTCCAACCTCCAACCAAAATATTGAGCAAATTGAGATCAAGTGTGTGGCTTTGCATGAAATGGAAACAAAATAAATCAAAACTCATGTGGCAAACTGTCCAAATGAGCTAAACACTGAAGAAGGTTTCAACAAGAAAGCAGAACACTTCCATAATTAATTACAAAGTTTAAAATTCACTAAGATGGAAATATAAAGACGCATACTTTTAAAAACCTGGCCTCCTACCTTTCTCCCCTCACGCTGGGTAGAAGTCTGCTCTTGACACTCATTTGTTTTCTGCTGATTGAGCAGCACCCCTTCCTTTTAAAGTCCATCTCAAAAGACAGCTGAGCCTCTTCACCGCCACGACAGTTCTGGCTAACACAAATTTGGAGAGGACAGGCACTTAATCCACAGCCGGAGCAGCCTCCTGAAGCCCTGGCACATTGCTGGAGGATGTTGGGTGCAATGAATAGCGTTATTGGCCCCTCCTGAGGAGCAGCTGTTAAAGGGAATGGTAGCTCAAACTGTTTATTTTGTCACACACTTAAGAACAACATCATGGCTCTAGCACACATATTTGTTTGATGGGCTTTATTTATAGGTAAATTGAACTCATTTGTAGTACGTTTATTTGTTTGATTAAACATTGTGGTCACATTGTGAGCAGCCGGAGATTATCTAGGCGCAGAACAAAAACCACCATGTAGTCTCCCTTCTGTAAGCTCCTAAAATATAGCAAAATACATATGTATAGGTAGGTTACAGCAGCAGGTAAGATTTCCTTGAAAAGGTATATTGTGTACAGAGTGACATGATGTGTATTTACTAGCCTAGTTCTGATTACTCTACTGAACAAACAGGTTTAATCTAACAGCCTAATCAGTCAACAGCTATTGGCAAGATACAGCTACTAAAAAGGTGTTTGAAGTAAACACCTATTATTGGCTGTGCTGGAGTCACAGATGAGAAGCATCAATTTTTTGCTGTGCAAAGGACCATGCAGCCTTTTAAAACAGCGATACTGCAGAACATAAAAGACTGTTAGTATGGTGACTGTCAGCTAAAGCCCAGTTATGACGGGTGCCTCAGGGACACATGGAACAAAGTAGATTAAGACTGCTTCTTACGAAGTATGCTACATGACCTGGGTTAGCTGCTTCATTATATTATGTGCATGAAAATCAAAAAGAATGCAAACAATTCAGTTCTTTTATTTTTCTTGAGACTGCACTCATAAAGGGACTGAGGTGTTGCAATGCAAGGTTCTCCTTGCTATAGGAAGAGAGTTTGACAACTAAAAAAAGTGCAGAAACAACCATCAAGCTGAGTGAGCAACCACTTGAGGTAGTCAAGAGAATAGGTCAAAGAGAGGAGTCAAGTCCGATTGCTCAGAGAGAGGCTCAGAGAGATTGCTTGAGAGAGGCCTTCACCCTTCTAAGATTCATAGGTGTGGGCTTTCCTTAGAGCCAGGTACTTCTCTTTGAGGAGTGAAGGTTTAGGTCTTGGTAATTACCATCCTGATGCAAACATATTATAGGAAGGTAAAGTTTAGGGGAACAAATCTGTGTTGACTTACTGTGTACAAAACTCATAGTTATAAAGAATTCTTGTGGTCAGTGCATTATGAGGACTTAGTCAAAGGACATCCATGCACGCAGAAACACTGCTCTCCTGCTGCGCCTCTGCTTCAAGTGATGAAGTGGCCAGAACTCAAGGGGATGATCTGGAAAGGCAGCTCTGCTTGAAGTGTTTGTTTCGGAAGCAACTACCTGGCAGCAACCAGTCAAACACCTGGGGGACCCTCTGGGGCTGGGAAGCCTTTCTCTGCCCTAGGCAGCTCTGCTTTGCTGCAAACAGGCAGGCAGCACCCAGCTGTGAGGGCTGCATTTTTGCTCTACCTCCTTTCACAACCAGATTTTGAGTCTGGACAGGGAGCCTTTCCTTTCAGTTTCTGACTTGTAATAAAATGCAAGAACAACTTGCCATTTTTCCTTTCACTTGTGACATTTCCCCAGGAGGAAACTTGCTTCATTTTAAACCTGCTGAGGACTTTGGAAGGGTTAGGAGGTCTCAGGGAGGTGAAATAAAAAAAGGAAGAGTCAAAAATTCATGATGCAAAACAATATGTTGTAGGGTTATTATATTTCTCACATGGCTGTGTGACAGTCGTATCTTGTCTGCCTGCACTGGTCATGCACCATGCACTTAATGCTGGAATATGGTGGTGGAGGCAAAGTTCAAATAACAAACTTGAGAGCAACCAGTTTGAGCGCAAGTCCCTTGGGTAGGCCATATTTGCTCTAGCTGACTACCAGCAATGCCTATATTATTTAAAATAATTACATGTATTTTAAAAAGAAAAAATGTAGAGAAAGAGGCCTGGTGACACTAGAGGTGAATTTTGTCCCTGATATCAGCGTGGCTGGGATCTCACCTTGACTTCACCTCTAAAGAAGAAAAGACTCATCTGTGGGGCTGGCCAGCCTTCCTGCTCCTACCAAAATCCTCTCAGGGACAAGGGCTGCAAAACACCTACCATGTGCTTTCCAAAGCTTAGGGGAGAGAGTGGCCTGGGGCTGGTTTGTGAGCACACCTGCCCACATAAGGGATGGGACTGGTTTGGGGTCCAGCAGGTGCCTTTGGCAGCCCTGCTGCAGAAGAAGGCTGCCCACAGGCAGAGCCACTGGAGGGCACAGCAGGATGTCTCTGTATAGACTGTTTTTGGAGATGCCCTTCAATCTTCTACAAAACACCAACCCATGGGTATAGCACTTAGCATTCAGTATCTCTAAATGCGCCAGCTCGTACTACAAAACCCATATGTGCCAGAAAGGAATGAACCATAGGCCTAGAGGAAGCTGCGAGCATGAGAGGGGTGGTATCTAATGGTATGTTTACTGAAATAAATGTCAAGTAGCAGTTTCTAAGATATCAAGATAATTATGTAATTAAG